AAAACAAAAAAGGAAAGCTGTTTTTTCATGAGCATTAAAGTTTTCGGATCATTTTTTTTTTCAATATAAATAACAAACAAAAGTACAGATTGCTAATAATATGTGATCTATAAGAATTTATTTTATTTGTTCTGTATAAGTTAGAGCAAAAGTAATTGAAAAAAAAACATTCAGGAGAATAAACAATGCATGTATAAAAGCGCAAACTTGTCATAATGAGTAAAGAAACTATGTAATTTATTGTATAAACTAATCATAATATCTATAGAATTTGTTGAAAGCCTTAAATAATCAAGTGAAATGTAGCCCTTTTTCTTTTTTAACATGAAAATGGTACATAACTTTGTGAAAAGTAAGGATTAGAGGAACATGACATATTAACTGATCGTTTATGTCTTGAGACATGTACTGTATTTAAATAGGATGACTTAAAGTTACACCAACATGTTTGCAATCAAAACTTTATAAATATTAATATATTTTAGGTATACAATCGTAAAAGTTTTACTTTTTCTTCCCATGAACAGAAAGGTGAAGAATTTAGTCAACACTATGAACAAAAGCCCATCACTGGTCAGAACATCAACCAAAAGCAAGATGATACGAAGAGACAGTCGGACAGACCACGAGGGTCACATCAGATTGATGCACGTGAAGAATATAAGAAAAATCAAGACAGGTAAATAATTATCGGAATCATAATATATATTGATATTTCACTCACGACATTTTTACACAATGTGTTATCCAATGTTCTGAAATTAGTACAGGTGTGTATTTTAATAAAGTTCTTTCATACTTAGTTTATACAAATTTATTTTGTTCGATTGTGTAGGAAGCTATATTGAAACACGTTCGAACCAACCAGTGCTAAGTAAGTAATGAGTGTGGATGTCTTGCTTACGGAAACAACGGGATTTGAACTCACGCGGCCAGCAGTCCTTAGATAACTAGTCCAACACGTTAACCACTCGCCTGCGCCTCCACCTTGGTAACATAACATAACATAGGTTTATAAATAAATCGTATGCAAACAGTACTTTGATTAAACAATAAGATTTTACATGCATGCATAAAAGTATGTAATGAGAGCATATACAAGAAATGAGAAATGCATCAATGTAACGAAGATAAATACATAGCCTACATATATGTGGTAGATTTTAGAGTTTCAGCATTGATATTTCTAAATATTCATATGCAGTTATGTTTATAAAAATGTTAAACATGATAATTCCTATTTGATATAATACAGTATTTGAATTTAGTAGTTAACATTTTCATATATCAAACATTGGAAATAGAAATTATAAAAGAAATATTTAATAGATCACGCTTGTAATATAACAATTGCTTTTTTCACAATTTGTACAAGTATATTTGGCTAAATAAGAGGGGTTGTAATATTTGTTTTTAACTCTCAGTAAACAAGCAAGCCATGCACTGAGGCTAAACAACCCTGACATTGCTGACCTGAGTGATGCGAACAGACCAACCAAAATAGCTGAAAAATTTTCCGAGCTCTATGATAATGAGTGGACAGAGGCGTTTGAATCACTTTCTAAAACAGAGAGTTCGGAAAAAAGAAACATTGAAACCCTCCTTAACATTGTCACGGTAACAACATATTTAGACTAATCTTAATTTCTTTTGATCGACTTTTTACTTTTGTCATATTCTTGAATAGTGTTGATATCATCTTTATGCAGAAAAGACACAAGACTGGCGTTCAAAAGTTTCGTTTCTATATTTCTAGATTTTTGTCTTAGTGAGAACTGATACAGATAGCCCGAACATATGTGGGTATAAAAGCACAAGACGATACTACTATTCCATAACATTGACTTAAGACGTTCATGTAACATTATTGTGGTGTTATAATATTAAGAAAGTATTGCTAAATACCATTATGAGTAATCTTTATTTATTGATAAACTGAAAATGTGTAATATAAATTCATGTTCTAAGAGACGTAAAATCCTGATTACTTTTACTTTAGGGTGCGTATGAGTTTTGTCGGGTAGAAGCAGATAGGCAAATTGACAATCTACAATCAAACTGTATAGAAGTTTTTAAAGGAGAAAAACTATCGTCATCCCGAGTAAGACCTGATTTTCTGTTAGCTTTCAAACGAATTAATAATCAAGTGTGTTTATTTAAATAAATTTGTTTTGTTAACAAAAGCCTTTGGAATAAACCTCATAGGCGAGTATCATAAGTTATTATAGTTCTCATTTTACATAAAACGTCATATAATTAATTCATTAATATTTTATTTAATTCTAGAAGTATACAGATCCGCCAAATGATAAAGGTAGAGAATACCTAGTTGAATACAGGAAAGGTATCGCCCAATGTTCTTTGCAATATCTGACGGTAATGTATCTCATTTGGAAGTTTGAGTTTAAAGATCGTTTTCAAACTGAAGCTTTAGAGGTTCTATACATATATGTTATGTGGGAGTCACTCGTATCAATTAAATCACCACACGTCGCTACTGTTATAGATATTTACACTATTCAATGATATAGGTATATTAGAACAAAAACAATACTTGATGTATCAATTATTTCATTAATCAATTTTAATTGCTAATTTACATAATAAACGATACTTACTTTCATGGTTTATGTCAGTCCTTAAATTAATTACGTATCTTTAAATTTGAAGGAGAAGTTTAAGAGTCAGATGAAAATCAAATACAGTGACGAGAGAATAATAGCTTATGTAGATAAAGCCGTCGAGCTGACATGGTGGATGGCGGTTCAAGACCCTCCAGTTTACATGTGCCCGACTACAACACATTTCGATAGCAATCTTTACAAGCCTTATACGCGGTCTGGCAAGACACCAGACTTCTTTGTGTGGCCTGCTCTCAAATTATATAAGTATGGTGGACTACTTATGAAAGGCGTGGTACAATACAAGAACTAAGAAAGGATACACAGATTCCATGGCATGTTTTATGTCGGTAGTGAGAAATGTTCCGTCCATGACGTTTGTAAATAGCAATTTAGCATAATGACAAAAATGGATTTGTTTGATAAGTTAAGATTTTCTTATGCGTTACAATTGTTAACACGATTCTAACGAGGAAAAATAATGACAATTATGGTAGATAGCATTGTAGATGTTGTAGTATAAATTGCATATAAATTGTGTATTAATTGTGTATTAATATTGTAAAGTTTGCAGACTTCTTGTTGATTATTAACCAAAATGTGGCCGCTTTAAAAAAAGTAAATGCCAGAGACTAATTAAATATTAAATGACTTCTTGTCCCAAACATTACGATTATTTACGTTTCAAATGACTGGATGTCACTGTGTTCAAATTCAATATATTTATACACTTATTCATTCTTAGAGAATGGATGAAAAGAATAGGCATGATACTTAAAATGAAATACTAAAAACAAAAATCCAGAACACTCGACTTTTTCCATCTGCACCTCAAGTTCACACAAATAATTTACTTTATATTCAATTAACTATAGGAAGCGTATGCCGGAGTAACATTAAATTTTGACCCTGTTGAAAAAATGACCACAAGAGTCAATTCTAAACTCTAGGTAATTTTTCAACATTGAGAATAGACCGTGTCAACATTTTAACTAAATTTTGATCAAAAATTCGTTTACATTTAATTAGTTTTTAAATTTTGATCGAAAATGGGGTCATTTTTAACGGATTAAATTGAAATTAAAAGTTATTTATGGTCAAATCGTGATAGACACACACTTGAACCAAAAACTTGAAACAAAAACACCTACAAGCTTCTAAGAAATGACTTCACAATGCCAAGTCCAGGCTCAAACTGACAACTCCTCCGAAATCGGCAATATCATTTAAATTATGGTGGACAGGGAACTGTTAACTAAATCTAAAGATCCCTAACTACTAAAAGTCATTGTTTATTTTTTGGAATAAAATATGCATTTTTACAAAAAAGTATTAATGATTAAAATAAACAAAGTTAGCACCGGTGTAAACGGTAGATAATCCTGTCCTAGATGCAAGAAAAGATTTTCCAACACTGCTATTTTTAATAACATTGAAGGATTTTTCTATCTGGTTAGTGAGAAAAAGAGATAAATGACGTATTGGCTCGCTATGTTAACTTGTGTTTAGTGTGGATAAGATAAATACAGTAAACTCCGCTTATAACGAACCATTCGGGACATTCAAAGTCAGTTCCTTATATCCGGAGTTCCTTGTAAGCATATAGCGAGTTAGTTCCTTGTATAGCGAACAGATTTACATATAGTGTTAATCTGTGCCAATGAAAACGAAAGTTAAAAATGCAGGATCTATTTACGGATAGCCGATATTTTTTGGAGCTTTGACCCCGAGAACAGGGGCCAATTTCGACCTCAGGACCATGACTTGGACAATCTTGGTAGAGATCCATAAGCTGATGTTTAATGCAAATATCTAACCTTTAGATTCAATTGATATACATGTAATGGTCAATATCTATCAATATCAAAGTCATAATATTTCACAGGAAAACTAATTAACAATCAGTGACAATGATTGGAGAAAACAACATTCTGCTGGGACTTTAAACTCACTTAAATTATAATCGTATATAAGGTTCATGTCATGCGAGAGAAAAACTTAAAGTACATTTACTTTATTCTGTTTTATCAAAGATTATAGTTTTCTAATTCGAATATCAACGTTTAATTTTATATATTAAAAGAAATGCTATCGTAAGAGTGTCATACAGGCTTGTAAGTTATAATAACTGTACTGAATTGTTACAATAAATATATTATATTTTTTCCGGGATCCATTCTTTATAATTTCATACAGGTTGTTGTTAAAGGAACCAAAGTTGTTAGAACATTTGAGCCGCGTCATGACATGACTAACATAGTGCGTTTGCGACCAGCATGGATCCAGACCAGCCTGCGCATCCGCGCAGGATACATGCTGTTCGCTATCAGTTTCTCTACTTGTTGTAGAGTTGTAAGCCCTGATCATTATGTTGGTTTTGTCATGACGCGGCTCATTTATTTTCTAAAACTGGCACAACACTGTTGAAAGTGGGTAAACTGCAAATAAAGTTATATATCTGCGTTTTGTAGTTTACAAACGTATTGTTCAAACTATGAACAGAGATTCTTCCATATTGTCTGTATAAAAGAAATATATTTGCATATTTTTAAAGAACGGTTGGCGTATGCACGAAATCATTGTTAAACGGTTTAAAACCCTACTGAAAATAGCCCCATAATATTTTCCCAATACATTTTATTCTGTTTGCATAAATATACCTGAGTGTTAAATAACAAAAAACTTATGTGTTAACTCTTTTGAGAATCGACCACTGTGTGTTAATCAAAAGATATTTCACAGATATAGATTTACATCCTTTAAATAGTTGATGTATTTCCCGTACAGCTAAACTGTTATCTGATCTGTTGTAATAAAGTTTACGAATGTTATCTTTGTATTTTTCACTTTGAATTTTTTCTTTATTATTTTCCATACAACACATTTAATCAAGTATATCACCTACGTGTTTTAATAAATTGAGTTTCTAAGATAGATGGTAACTTAATAAAACCGTTGCATTTTAAGTGCCTCATGTTTGGAATGATCAAGGAAACAAACACGGTTAAGGAAACACGGAATAATCTAATTACTAACAGCAGCTAATTGCCTGTGAACAACACTATATATTTAACAAGAACAATATTTATTCATTCATAGAAACAGCAGATATACAAGTATGGTATATCTTATAGTGGTTCTTCTCAATTAGTGTTTTTTTTTTCAATACCAAATGATCACCTTTTTTCTATTCTCTTCAAACAGGCTGTGATATTGATCCTTTTATACAGTAGCTTTATTGTTAATAATATAAATGTATTTTTGAATGTTATATAAACATTTAATAAGTTAGCTTGTAAACGTTCAATACATACCAAATCAGGAAGTTTAAATAAAGTAGTTTTTCATAAAGGAGGGATTATATCTTTTAAACTTGTTAAAACTAAATTGTAGTGTGAAAACAGAATAAAAAGAATTATGGCAACAAGTATATCTATGCAGTTACTGGACTTTACGATAGAAGGAGATTTTCGTAAGGCAAAAGCTTTATGTGATGAAGCAACTGTGGAAATTAACACGCTCGTAGAAAAATGCGGTAAACATTTCACAGACAGACAGCAACAAACTATTGAGGAAGTTAGAAAAGTAATAAACAGTTTGGTCAACAACCAGACAAAATCAGCTAAAGTGATAGCAACGTCAACAACTCCGAGGTTTTTTCAGCATATCGTAGCAACCTATTTTAAGGTTTGCATTTGTAATTTTATTTTGCTTTCGTTTCTGTTTTATTTTGTAGAAATATGATGTAAGAAAAATGAGCTTTGAACTTTTGATTTTTATTATTGTGCTGAGTACGTGAATTTCATGAAACATGGAGATGCCATGTAAGCAATTAAATGGACTGGGGTCAGGAAACAATAAAAATACATTTGACAGGAAATAACGTCCAATAATGGGTATGCCATGTCGCAGTTAATTGAAACAAAATTTAAATAACTAATGATATTTCAAAATACTCGTGAACAATTTTACATTAAAAAAGTGAAAGCTGTTGCTTCATAAGCACGAAGTTAGCAGGTCTTTTTTTTTTCAATGCAGACAACAACCCTGTAAGTTCTTACACTATATGATCTGTAAGAATATATTTTATTTGTTCTGTATAAGCCCAAAAGTAATTGAAAATATTCAGGAAAATAAACAATTTGCTTAAATTTCTAAAAGGGCATAAATAAAAGGGCAAACTTGTCAACATGAATGAAGGAACTGCGTAATATATTGTATAAACTTGCAATAACAGCTTTAAGATTTGTAAACAATCCTATTCAATTGTACCTTTTTGAGGAGGCAGGAACATTCAAGGAAATGTTGCTTTATCGGTAAACTTGTAAAAAATCAGTTTTCAACATTACATATATTTTGGCAAACCTGCATTACAACTTTATTCTTCGAAAAGAAATTTATATAGTTTCATGTTTTGCTTTCTACCATTATGAAATATTGTTTGTATTGCTTTAAAGGGACTCCACTGTGGTTTAAAAGCCTAAAAGCATAACATTTGAATTTCTTACATAAAATGAGCTGGGGCACTTTAAACAGAAATATATGCAAAGATAGTTAAGAAATATACTTAGAAATAAAATGAAAATCGTGTTTTTATGCTTTTCTAAGCCCAATTTGAGTGAAAAACGTTTAAACGCTTTTCATTTTGGAGCATTTTTTTACAATTTGAATACGAAGGGTGCGAATGAACAAAGATAAGTGTTCTACACCTACATCAAATGGAACTTTTATCTGGAAAAATTATTTTCAGTTCCATCATGTCAAAAAACCTCAGTGGAGTCCCTTTAAGTACTTATGTAATATTTCATTCCGATAAATGTATGTTACAAATACTTCCAATACAAAATAATTTGTGCTAAATACTTCAAATGTTATGCTATAAATATATTATGGTACAAATATTTCAGTTGTAGTTAGTTAATTCAATTGAGCAATTTGTCTTTAATTGAAAGTGCTTCTATTACGAGATCGGTTTTAACGAGGTACCGATACAACGTACATTCTACTGTGTCCCGGCTTTTTTCCTTCTATTTTCCTTTCATTTTTTATCTATTATAACGAGATCGGTTTAAGCAAGATATCGGTTACAACGTACATAATTTCGCCGTCCCATGCGTATTTTTCAGAATTTTACCGAGGTCACTTCATTTGCACTTCGTCTGCATCAGTTTGTCACCTTGAGAATCAAAGCACTGAATGTACTGATGGGGAGGCTATGACAGAATGTTTCAGACTTATAGTTTCTTTTCTTTTTGCTTAAAATGTGCTGTTATTTCAATTATTACCAAAATAAGAAGATATGCACATTGTGTCATTTATCCTTACTGTTGTGTTTAACCATTCATATATATGGTTAATATGGTTGACTATTCATTTTGTTAATATTCCAAAACATTTCATTGAGGTCTACATTCGGACTGCTAATCCTGCAAATTTTGAAAAACCTAAACTGTCAATAATAAATGACATACCAGAAAGTATGACGACTGTTCATTATAAGATAACAATAACATTTTACAACTGACTGTTCCTTATCAAAATATTCTAGGACTGTTCATCATAAATACTTAATGTCATTTTAATATCATTGAATGATAATAACAACTGCAAGTTATGCAACATTTTTATTGAACATAAAAATTATACATATTTACATGTCATGTACCATAATTGAGATCAATAAGATACTGTCTTGTGATGAGTATTAATATCCATGCTCTACGGACAGAAAGATGTCTGCTTTGGAAGCAAATCTGGAATAAAATCACGTTTCAGAAAATTATTCCCATTTCATTACTCGTCGCTGACTTTGAAGGCTTCGGATATTTATTAAAACTAAATATTTCTTGAAAAAATACATATCTGCTAAGCTTATTCAAAGTTGAATCAACCTAAGTGAAAATTGATCAGGAAGTTATATCTTCTTTTTTTACCGCCAACACTCAACCAACTTATGGTAGTTAATAGATAGATTCTACATGTATTTTTTAAACCTCACTAGCTTGAAATATAACTGCGGAAAATCTATTGTTAACAGGGTGTGCGGTTATTACGTAGGGTTTTCCCTGTCGACCATTTCCCGCAAATAGATGAGAACATCGAAGCGTCAGTGCTATGAATGGTGTTATAATTTATAAATAGCGTGTTTTGGAAGTTTTTTTGTTGAAACTTCTCCAAATCCCTCCAGAGGCGTGCACGTCGCGGAGAAGGCACACGGCAGGTCAATGTCAAGTCATCTCAAGTACCAGAGGTGATTGGTTGACCTGTCGTGACTTACTCTTGAGGTTTGGCGCTAATGAATGCCGTTTTTGTTGTCGTCAGTCAGGAAGTTGATGCCTTGCCAGTATTGTCGTCTCCTTTACCACCAACGAACGAAGAATGGGCTACCAGGAATATTCGGCAAAAAAAGACGTCCCCGATGCTATAATCTCGGACATATGGTTATTCCGGCCCCGAGTATAAATAAACTTAAAACACACACACTTTTGTTGAAAACAAAACAAAAAAACAACAACACATTTTGTGTAGTATTTTTTCAAGTGTTGTAAAATGAATACGAAATTCCTCTTATGCCGCCGATTATTTTTAGAACACAAACATATAAGTTTTTTTATTCGATTTATTCAAATAAACATTAATCACTTCAGCGCCCGCAAATATCGTTTTCAAATTAAAGTTTCGTAAGATATGTTGATGAATTCCCGATGCTAAACTGTATGTCATTCGTATATATATATGCGTTTTTTGTTGTTGTTTTTTAAGCCTCTTATTCTTTAATATTTTTATGTATCTCATAATCTGTATTGAAAATTTGAATTTTATTACACATGGACTATCAAATTATGATGCGTTGCCCTAGAATTGAATAGACTTTCTAATTACACAATACGGGATCATTCATTTGATTGAAGACTGATCTTTGCGTCTTTCTCTGAAATAATTATTTCCTTGTTAAAACATATTTGACCACATATTTCTGTCATTTAACTGTTCACTTTACAGCTATATGATATAGCGGTTTATGAGCGTTTTCCGCGTACAGCCTCCAAGGGTGTACTAATAAGTTAGTTTTCCTTAGTTATCACGCAAGCACGATCCATGTCTCTGATGTAAGCGACAATTTACCATTATTTGTCTTTAAAAAATATTAAGGACTATTAATGGTTTATATCAACAAAAGAACATGCATGATATTGAGACTACGGTGTTGCAACGTTCTAGTTAATGGCCCGTCATAAACAGTTGGTTGCTGCGTAGTAATTGGAAAATTGTTATCAAAAATAATAAAGAATATTTGCCACCTAATTAAAGCATTTACTTATAAATTTTCATTTATGCTTTATGTTAAAAAATTATTGATAAAGTTATTATGTAGAAGGGTTTTCATACCAGAACTATTTATTACAGACGTACCTATGCCTAAACCTAATTACCGCGGCAGTATGACGTCACGGAGTAGTGATTTTGAAAAAATAACAAACAAAAATCAAGAATTTTTCAGAGAATTATTATCTGATATGAAATTAAAGAATGAAAATATTTTCATATTGTAAATGACTGTGATGAGTGATGAGTCAGCTTAGAAAAAATCAAGGTACTATTTTTTGACCTGGTTACCGCGGCAGTAAGATTTGACGGACGGTATTAACATTGTGTCGGCAAAGCCTCCCCAAAAACAATGATGACCAATGATAAAGGTCAATTAAACATAAATTATTGACGCGGGACGAGATAATGGGTCGAGCGATTACCGATCAAATGTGTCAGTCTTGTTTTGTCAGCGCTTCGAGTTAAAATGTCCTTAAGGTGACGAAATGTCATAACAAAACAATTTCATTGAGAGATTAGCACAAAGGAAGCGGCTAATTTATTGCGGTGTTATTCGGTGTTCGTGAGAAATGCACTGCTTGACATTTGAAAACGAATTTTAAAATGTACATATTAATGAAAAAACACACGCGGTTAGACGTAGGTTGTGTTTTCATGTTTTGTTTAAATTCTATAATAGCTAGATATATTTATATACATGGATATTTAAATAAAAACAAAAACTTCTGATTGCAAAGAGTTACCTCCCATTATATACTCTTCAAAAAATATGCACGCGAAAGCGAAAGTAGAAATAAATGATGCTCGACGGTGTCGGATTTCTCAATTGGTTCTATCCCGGTTATAACAAGACCCGGTTATAACGAGGAATCATCCAAAGTCAAGACGATCTCGTTGTATCCGGAGTGCACTGTAATTACCTTGGTATGCTTAAACATATTCAAAGGGAAATGAACAGGTATAAATTATTTCAGAGAGAGTCAATGGAGGAAGTTCAATCATCTGATAGATCTAATGGCATTCAAAAACACAGCCATGAGCAGAAAGGCGAAGATAGTCGACACTTTGAACAAAATATGGTTAGTGGTCGGCGCATGCATACGAATAGACAGTCGGACGGTGAAGTATTTCAGAGAGAGCAAAGGCAAATGAAGGAGGTTCATCCATCTGATCGATCTCGTGGCATTCAAAAACACAAAATCCATGAGCAAAAAGGCGAAGATTGTCAACAAAATATGGTTAGTGGTCGGCGCATGCATGCCAATAGACAGTCGGACGGACCACGAGCGGCAATTGGAGATAATAATCAGACAGAAACACATCAGATCGGCACACATGAAGAATATCAAAAAATCAAGCTGGGTAAACAAGTAAATAAATAACGAAATGTATTAATATTCACACTTACAACATTTTAACACAATGTATTTTCATAAAATTCTTTCATATTGAGTTTATACAAGTTTACTTTAGTTCGATTGTGTAGGAACCATTAAGCTTATTGAAACACACTCAAATCAAACAGTACTAAGCAATGAGTGTAAAGTTTATTGCTCAAAGAAACAACGGTTTGCCCCTTAAATCGTTTGAACCCACGCGGCCAGCAATCATTAGATTACTAGTCCAACATGTTAGGTATTCGCAAACGCACCCACTTTCATTATTATTGAACATCGGAAGTAGAAAACTATGAAAGAAATATTTTTTATCTCGATTATAATATAACAATTGTTTTAAACAATGTATACATGTTTCTTTGGCTAAATAAGAGGGGATGTAATAATTGTTTTTAACTCTCAGTAAACGAGCAAGCCATGCTTTGAGGCTAAACAACCCTGACATTCCTAACCTGAGTGATATGAACAGACCAACCAAAATAGCTGAAAAATTTTCCGAGCTCTATGTTATTGAGTGGACAGAAGCGTTTGGATCACTTTCTAAAACAGAAAGGAGTTCGGAAAAAGCAATAGTTGAAACCCTCCTTAATATTGTCCAGGTAAAAACATATTCAGACAAATCTTAGTTTCTTTGATCCACATTAAACTTTTGTCAAATATTTTAATACTGTTATATCATCTAAATGCAAAAAAAGACACAAGAATGAAGTTCAAATGTTTTTATTTTTATTTTGTTGTTGTTGTTCTTTATTATAATAAAAACTGATACAGATAGCTCGAACCAAAGTAGGTATATAGACACAAGACAATATTTCATAACAGGTAATTTAAGCCGTTCACAACGTAACATTATTGTACTGATATAAAATCATGAAAGTATCGCTAAATCACGCCCGGCAAACTGTCGCTCCACTTCAAAATTGTGGTGTACGGTAAAACGAGCGAACGGCATTTCCGAGATAGAGCGGAAGGCCGATTTAAACGCCTAATTGTGAGTATTGTTTATGTTTTTGTCTTGTTATTCATTTAAGTTGTATTTTTTCGAAAAACGGAAAATGTGGTTCCGTGTAAGATTGATTTAGGCTTCCAATTATCTAAGCTGTTACAAAAAGAAAATTATTTTAAGCCCGGGAGAACTTTTCTCCCTGACGAAGCGAACGATGATTTGTAGAATATTGAACTTCCCAACCAAAGAAATGCCATACCTTTCGGATTTTTCTTGAAAAAGTGTATTAGTAAATTATCGACCCGTTATAAGAACTTGTCCTTCGTGCAAAATAAATT